GTTGAGAGGCGACCTTGTGGCTGCCTATAAGTTCATCATGGGGGCACAGAAGGGAACTGGTGAGGATTTATTCACCAAGGCGCCCCCGGGGGTTACAAGAAATAATGGCCACAAGCTAGCAGAGAGCAGATTTAGATTGGACATTAGGAGGAACTTCTTCACAGTTCGAGTGGCCAAGGTCTGGAACGGGCTCCCAAGGGAGGTGGTGCTCTCCCCTACCCTGGGGGTCTTCAAGAGGAGGTTAGATAACCATCTAGCTGGGGTCATCTAGACCCAGCACTCTTTTTCCTGCCTATGCAGGGGGTCGGACTCGATGATCTATTGAGGTCCCTTCCGACCCTAACATCTATGAATCTATGATTCTTGTTTAAAATGGTTGTTTAATTGTATGGAGAAGTATGCTGTAGCTTGCTAATGTCATGAACCATTTGCTCTTAAATAATTTAAAACAGACACCAACTTGAGGTTGTAAGCAGTTTCAGGCCCTAGATCAGCTTGAATGCTCTAAACATAGCAAGAATTGTTTCTAAATTATGTTTTAGACAGTTTCTGATTTTTCAGGGTTTTTTTCCTCCTCTCTCCTGCTCCTTTGCAAAAGCCACACAAGCGGGGAAGCACTGTCAAATGCTTAAGAGTAAAACAAATTGGAAAAACAGTTACTTAAGTATTTCTTATAACAGTAGCAAGTAAAAGTTTCAGGTAGATACAATTTAATCTGTTTCTATTGAAATCAGGAAGTAAAGATGATTTAATAATTCATCCTTTAAAAATAAAATCACTGTCTCAATGTTAGAATTATCATCTTCACTGTAATGTTTAAATGGAAATGACAATGTCTGTCAACTTACCACAGGGTCCAAGCAACCAAATATAGCACCAAATATAAGCATTTTGCCAATTTTAACATTGACAGGCAATGCTGCAAGGTGCTGACCCAGTGGAGTCAGTCTGGGCTCAATTAATTCACAAGCCCCAATCTTCCGTAGCAGGTTCATTGCATTGCTGATTACTTGAGGCTGTGGGGGATCTAATGCTCTGGACAGGAAATCCTCAGGAGCACCAAGATTGCATTTCTATGGATTGAACAGACATCATTCAATATAAGGCTATTTAGCAAAAACAAACTTAAATGGTAAAAGCATAACAGATTTTTTTTCCCTTTTAAAATGAGAGCCTGTAGAACACGTTATTTATTCAGCCATTTTAGGGCCAGCTGTGCGCCTCTTCCTTTACCTCACTCCTTACGTTGGCCAAGTTTTCCCTAATACAGGACTACAGCGGGCCTACATGCTGAAATTAGCATAGCTCCACTGTGCTAAAGGCTAGTCATAGAAAGTGAGCCAGGGAAAGTTGTGTACTCAACTCGCAACTCTACAGAGTTGGCTATCCAGTGGCATGACTAGTAGCATGCAACTACATTGGGGGTGGGCAAAATATGGCCCCTGGGTGCACAGCGGGGCTGGGGTGGCCTTGTGGCTGGACCACCTTTGTAGGCAGCGGTGGCTCCTGGCTGCTGCTGGCCCCAACCCCAAAGTACTGGCAGGGACCCACGCGCACAGCCCCAACCTGGCACACTCCATACCTGCTCCAGACTCACCCAACAAACCTCAGCAGCAGCAGCAATGGTGGCTGCTGGGCAGAAACTGTTGCTCAGGGCAGGGAAAAATTAGCCCCTCCCTCTTGCCACTGCCAGGCAGTTCTCACTGCAGCCGCCTGGAGCCTGTGCCACGTCAGGCTCCCCTACGGCTCTGCTGCAATCACGGTTGCCTCTGGGCTGCCCAGCATGGTAGTGGCCACAGTGCAGAGCAGCTGCAGGACAGCCCGGCATGGCATGGGCTCCAGGTGGCTGCACCAAGAACTGCCCAGCAGTGGTGAGGGGGAAGGGCTGCTTTTCCCTTGCACCGAGCAACAGTTTCTGCCCAGCAGCCACTGCTGCTGAGCCTGGACAGGAGAGAGTCTGGAGCAGGCACAGGATGCTCCAGATTGGGGCTGCGTGCATGGGTCCCCGCTAGTACAACGGGGCTCGGGTCAGTGGTGGAAGCAGCTGTAACGAGTGCCACAGCCCTGCTGCTTTCCCAGGGGGCAGCAGGATGAGCCATGGCTGGGTGGTACGGAGCAGGCACAGGGCAGGCTGGGGCTGTACAGGCTGTGGGCTGTTGCGAGGTGGGTGCTGACCAGCTCACAGGGGCACAGGCAGGGGGCTCACACACATACCCCACCATACCCTCA